AAAATATGACTTATTTATAATTGACAAGGGTTGAAGGTGTAGCATGAATCTTAAAGAGTCTTATTAATAAAATAAGATCAGAGAGACAGAACAGGCCACAGCTACCTCACCTCGCCAGTTTCTCAGCTGGTCCTGTTTCCTCAGACTGGAAGCCTCTGAGTCCTCATCCAGAATGAATCTCAGCTGAACTGCTGCTCCAAAGCCTGAAAGCTTAATTAGCCAAAATGCTTCTAGTTTCTGGTCTTCACGCCTTATATACCTTTCTGCCTTCTGACATCACTCCCTGGGATTAAAGACTCGCTTTCTGGGATTAAAGGCGTGTGTCTCCATGCTGGCTGTATCCTTGAACACACAGAGATCCGCCTAGCTCTGCCTCCCAAGAGCTGGGATTAAAGGCGTGCATCACCACTGCCCAGCTTCTGCTATGGCTTGCTATTAGCTCTGACCCCCAGGCAACTTTATTTATTAACATACAAATAAAATCACATTGCAGTAAAATAAAATATCACCATATTTCCCCTTTTCTATTTTAATAAAAAGAAAAAAGGAAAAGTTGTAACTAATATAAGAAAAACTATATACAAAAGTACAATAACTATATACCATATATACAAGTAATAAATACCTAAACAATGTCTAGTCCATTTTTATTTTACAAATTCAGAGAAAATAATTCCATTATCTATCCTATTTTGGTAAGTCCAAAATGTACCTAATTCACTTTCTATCCTAACTAATCTTCAGCTATCACTAACTAATCTTCAACTATAACTAACTAATCTTCAAAAAAATTTTGGTATAGACATTGAAAGAACACTTAAGGAAATATAATGAGGGGCTGGAGAGGTGACTCAGGAGATAAAGCACTTTCCACGCCACCATGAAAACCCGAGTTTGGATCCCCAAAACCTACACAACACTGGACTCCAGAGTGTGCATCTGAAGGCCAGTGCTTTCATGACCAGATGGAGACAGAGACTAAAGAATTCCCGCACGCCCGCAGGCCAGCTACCCTGGCATATGCAGCAGAGAACAGTGAAAGATCCTGTCTCAAACAAGGTGCACAGCAAGGACTGACATGAACACACACACACACACACACACACACACACACACACACACACACACGCAAAACAACCACAGTCAAGTTGTGTATGTCTGAGAATGGAAATGGCGGCTTTCTTAAGGAATTTTTGATTTGTTTAAAATGTTGATTTTACCAATGATCTTGGAGAGTTTATATGGTGATAAAAAGGTGAAGTAACAAGTGCACACCATGTTTTAGCAGCATCTCTTGTATTCTTGAGGCTACATGGGGACATGTCCTATTGGTGTGACAAAACCAAAGCCTTATCCACTGATAACCTTCGAGGGAGCGATTCTACCTCTAGGAATTTGCCTTAGCATAAGTGGATGGGGGGGCGGGGCATGTAGATATATGTACAGGGATGTTTTTAAATGTGTGGTTTGCATTAAAAACATTGAAAGTGAAACAAAATGGCCATTTAAAGGGAATTAATAAATCACAGGGTAACAACAGTGGCATCCTAGGCTAAAGAGGTAATGCCAGAGCATCATTGTTGGCATAGGAAGCTGGTCACAGTGTATCAATGGGCAAATGAGATGGGTCATGAGAGCCTTCACAGTTTGATTCTGACCTGCCACTCATCTGTCATTTAGTGTCCCGGGCATGGTTCTAGGACCTCGCTGATACCCAGACCCCCGGGTGCTCTAGTTCCTCATAATTGATGCTCAGTGTTTACATGTAACCTAGGAACATTCTTTGCACAGTTTGAGTCATCTCAGGGTGAATAGAAGACCTAACACAATGTAAACACTATGGGTCGAGGTGTGATGCTGTGCTGTGTCTGTAATCATGGTCTGAAAAGAGTATATGTTTAACACAAATTCAATCCAGGATCTTTTCTATCAGGTTTTGAAGAATCTGTGAGTGTGGAACCTATGTCGACGGAGGGCTGATTGTTATTAACTACATATATGCAAAGACAAGGAAGAAACTGTACAATAATGCACATCAGGGCAGCCTTATATGGTTACCATAGCCTTCTCAGTACCAAAGTTATACACCATTTTTGGACCCCACCCCTGTATTTGTTTTAAAATGGTCTAATTTGGGCTGGAGAGATGGCTCAGTGGTTAAGATCACTGGTTGCTCTTCCAGAGGACCTGGGTTCAATTCCCAGCACCTACACGGCAGCTCACAACTGTCTGTACTTAAAGTTCCAGTAGATCCAACTCCCTCACAAAGACATGCAGGTCAAACACGAATGCATACAAAAATAAAAAAAGTAAATTAAAAAAATGATCTAATTTATGTATAGTGAGTAAAAAATAATCCTTTTAAATTTTCAAAAAAAATCAAGATATTTCTTTCTTTCTTTCTTTCTTTCTTTCTTTCTTTCTTTCTTTCTTTCTTTCTTTCTTTCTTTTTTTTTTAATAGCCACTACAAGTACCTGGGGCTGTAGCTCAATTGGTACAGTGCTTGCTTAACATGGGTTCAACCTGCAACTCTGCACCAACCATGCATGCTAGTGTATGCTAGGAGGAAGAGGCAGGAGGTCCAGTTCAAACCATCCTCTGCTCCCTAAAGAGTTAAAGGCCAGCCTGGGCTACATGAGACCCTGTCTCAAAAAGAGAAAAATGTCAGCTTCAGAACTTCCCACTGTTCCCTTTAGAGACTGATCCAGGTAAGAAACAGCAGCCAGCCCTCCACTGTAGAGAAGCTGCCTGGGAAGCCGATGGAGGCGGGGCCAGGACCCAGCGTGTGAAGGACACTTCCCAATTGCTGAGACTCCTACAATGTTCAGGTACAATTTATGTATTCTTTTTTTTTTTTTTCCGAGACAGGGTTTCTCTGTGTAGCCCTGGCTGTCCTGGAGCTCACTCTATAGACCAGGCTGGCCTTGAACTCAGAGATCCATTTGCCTCTGCTTCCCGAGTGTTGGGAAAACAAAACTCTTTATTTCACCCAATGCAGGGCCAGGTTCCAACATTTAATCTTCAAGTGTTCTGTACAACCACCCAGACTCCCACTGGCTTCCCATCACAGGCTTTCAGGCCCGGGAGCCACTGTCTAGGAATGGAGGGAAGGGGGCGGTGAGTTTAATGGCAGGACAACCCTGGTGTGGCAGGAGGAGGTGTGCCCACCGCCACCCTGGGTGGTTCAGATGTCTGCTCTGTGAGGCTGACACAGGATGGCAGATCACCCCAACTTGATACCTACTTGTTGGGCTCAATTGTGTCCTCTGTGATCTTTGGTTGACCCACAAGCCTTTGCACGGGACTGGAGCTAAACAACACCTCCAACAAATAACGGATACCTGGTGCTGAGCATTGGTTCCAGTGAAATGCTCGATGGCAGCCTCCATTGCCACTACATTCAACAGCTATGTAAGGAAAACAATGGACCCCATGTTCCTCAAGAGGGCTTTCCAGATGGATCTCCAAAAGAGGTAGCTGAAGGTAAGGGGCGTGGCCGTCCTGACAGAGAACTCTGGAGCCTGTGCTGTGTGGATGAGGGGAAGCATTTCCTCCCAGCTCAGTCTGCAGTGATGTGGTTCTGGACTCCCTAATCCCGCCAGCTAAATGCCATAACCACCCCTCTCTACAGACGAGAAAGCTGAGGCTTAAGCATGGAGCTATGCCTTGCTAGCAAGGGCTGGGCAGGGATTTGAAATGAGACTTCCATGGGCCACTCTGTTTGGCCACCACACAGCAAGGACTGTATTTGCTGGCATCTGAACTTGACCAATGCCTCATTTTCTATCATTGAGCTACTTTCAACCTCCAGAAATTCAGCCCCATGTGGCCAAAGCTGGATGGCACCTGTGGGGAGGCTGTGGCACCATGGGTGACCTGGCAACGGCCCAGGCAGACTGGGAAGGCAGGCTGGAGGCTTGCCTTCAGTTCAGTCCATGGAGGAGCCTTGAAAAAAATCATCCTGTCTGTATGTGAACTTCTGAAGTTTTACTCATTACATCTTTTTGTGTCAATTTTGATTTAAAATACCTTAAGACATTATCACAAGTGATTTTGGGGGGAGGTCCAATTTTGCATCCAAAGGTGTGCTACACTTACTTGACCCATGTCCTGGTTTCTGGCTAAGACCCAAGTAATACAAGCAGGTCCTGTCTAAATGTCTGGGGACATTTAACTTCTTGAAATGTTTTTCTGACTCCGTTCTGTTTGCCAGAATGAAATGGTCACCTCATTCGTGAGTTTGAACCAAAACATAACAACCATTTAAAACTCAAGAGAAACAGGGCTTGGGGAGTTAGCTCAGAGACAGAGCGATTCTGGCAAGTTCCGGCCTTGGGTTGGGCCCTCAGCTCCGAGGAGGGCAGGAGGCCAGCAAAACCGAGACTGGCCACCTTTTTCCTTCCAGTCATTTCTCTGATTAAAAGTTTTGTGACATGATTCTTTGCTTCTCTTATTTCTATCTCCTCTACTAGACTTGGTGTTTTAAATAAATTATAAAATAAAATATATAATAGAACCGCTTCATTTGTGGCATGTACGTGGTATGCCTACGCGCATGTGGTACATGTATGTGTATTGCAGGCTACATGGGCACATAGCCACAAGCCAGAGGACTAAACGTCTCTCTCTGTTACACTCCATCTTATTTCCTTGTGCTAGGGGCTCACTTAATGTGACGCTTGCTGTTGGGCTCAGTGTGGTGGGCAGTGACGTCTCAGGGTCTGCCTGTCCTCCCCCGCCCAGTGCTGGAGTTAACAAGGACACCTGGGCAGGCCTTGCTTTCTGGCGGGCCCTGGGGATCCAGATTCAGACCACTGTGTTTGTATGGCTCTTACCCACTGAGCCATCTCCCCAACCCCGCTACTTCAGATTTCTGTGTTGAAGTTCTGCCTTCTCCCCTGTCCCTTCGGCCTCCCACCCCTCCCTCCACCTCACTGTCCTTCCCTCCTTTGTTCCGTGGAGGCAACTCCGGCTGGAACGTCTGGAACGTACGTACGTTGAGTTCCACCCATTCAGCGTTGCTGACCACAACACCGCCTTGAGCTCTCACTGTGCGGGCGCCAAGTACGGGACCCTCACTGAGAGCTGGCCAAAGGCATGGCTCTTGAGTGGGGTTGCCCACGCTCCCCGGCAGGGATGAGCCCCAGCTCCCTTGGCCAGCGCTCTCCTGGGCTCACTGCACCCCATTCATCCCCCATGTGCAGATGACTCAGCCAGTGATTTCAGCCACCCGCCTGGTGTTTGTGCCACTTGCCGCAAAGCAAACCGGTGGACACTGTTTGGTGCTGTCCTGAGCTGACGCTCTGCTGGTGGAGAATGACATTGAGTCAGCGTGCAGCCAAACAGATGAAATGCTGTGGCTTCTGAGGAACCTATTGTTTGTGGGCCCACCAGGAGGAGGAGGAGGAGGAGAGGGGACTGCCACCATGGGGAGGGGGGATCCTACAGTCTTCCTGCAGCTACCTCAGGGCAACATTTGGCTTCAGGCAGAGTGGGCACCATAGCAGGAATCCAGGAGAACGAGGGCAGAACCTCACATGGGCTTTCCTAAGAGAACCCTCAAGCAACCCAGCTGGACTCTATACCCTTGTTTGCTTGTTCTGAATGGAATTTTGCTTGGCGCCCTTGGGTTCTGCCACGGGCCCTGATCATGTCCAAGGAAGGATGCAAATGCAGAGGACACACTGTCCCTTAGTGATCACACAGAGCCACGCGTTTAATCCAGTTCTAATGGGAAAAACTCTGGGTGGCGACAAGTCAAATGTCCACAGCTGTAATAAGCACGGGACTGGGTCCTGTCATGATTCCCACCCGAGAGACCCGATGAGTCCCCAGAGTCCAAGTGGCCTGTCTGAGATCACCCAGCAGAGGGAAGTAACAGCTCCCAGGCTCAGCCACAAAGGGCAATGCATAGCAAGGCGGCAGAGGGAGAGGAGTGGAGAGAGGGCAGGAAGGCGTGTGGGCAGTGGATGTGGCATCCAGTGGTGCCGGGAAACAACAGAGGGTCTCAGGACAGAGAAAGTGAGGGGACCTGGAAGCCCAGGAAGCTCCCCTACTGTTTCTGTCCTCTGTTTCTGGAGTACTGCTTGGCCCTCCCATCGGGCAAAACCTTCCTCAAATCCTCCATGGGGAGCGGGGGGGGGGGGCCCCGCGGGGTTGTGATCGACCCCTGGCATGTCTGCTTCACTGTGTGCCATCATGCAGATAAAGGATAAAAGGCATGCCCGCACCATCCCTCTGACCTAGGTACCATCGCCATCACTGGCAGGGTCCCCCTGCTTATGAAGAGGGCACTGAGAGGCGTGGCTTTATGTTCCTTCCTGAGATGACACATGCAGCCAGAGAGGTGCTGACTGGTCCTCCTGCCCAGGCTGTGCTCAATAACGCAACTCCCAGGACTGCAGAGGGATCTCACCACTAACACCACCAGAAGCCGGCACCACTAACACCACCAGAAGCCAGCAGACAAAACAATGAAACAGCCCTTTGATGGGTAACCCAGGTAAAGAAAGTATCACCCAGTCAACACTTTCTTTACAGATACTTTATCTGCTTGGTGTGATTTTTTTAAGGACTTCAATTGTCCACATCTAAGCACCCCTTCCTGAGAATTCTTTGTTTTTGTGTAGGGCCAGGAATACATATGTCTTGAAAGGAGCAGGGAATGTATGTCCACCTTCCATTCCATCTGCATCCCTGATATCTTGGAACTGCATGTCCTGATGTCAATCATTCTCCTTCTCCCAGACTGCGACATGTGGGGACTAAAACTTAGAAAATGGAGCAACTTTCTACCTCTCAAAAGATGCTGAAAGTGAAATGACTTGAAATACCCACCCCATGGCCTCTGGACAGAGAGGGGGTGAGTCTCTGCTGTCGCTGCTGGGCCATGTGGGAATCTCAGGGTCCCATTGATCAGAACTCTGAGCACTCAGGCCTGGGGCACCTATGGGGGATGCTACCACCTTGTCCCAAAAGCTGAGGAGAAGGAAGGACAAGGACATCTCTCTCCACTCCTGCAACAGCAGGGAAGACAACCCTCAGGGCTCCCCCGCCCAGGCTTCTAGAAATCCCTGAGGAGCCTTGGCTCCCTTTCTCTCTGTCCTGCTCACCTCCCACCTGTAAGGTGAGGATAATCTGAGTGTCTGCAAAGTGAGATGAAGCATGTCAACGCTCAGAAGGCTCTCGGCACCCAATAAACACAATGTTGGCTCATATGGGCACTGTTATCTTTGTTGGTAGCAGATGCCAACCAGCCATTCCAACTGAGAGCGTGTCCTCTTCCTCCATGTCTGCTCATCTCCAGGTGAGCTGGGTCTTCTCTCTATCCCTCCCTCTCTTCTTTATCCCTTCCTCCATCTCTTTCTTTCTGAACTCACAGATGAGTCTTTTCAATCTTATCATTTTGAAGTCTCTTGGTGGTAGCATTCAAAGTTACCCACATTGCCTAGTAACTTTGGGAACACACGAACCTAGGTCCCTTTCTTGAGACCTAGGGTTAAACGTTTTCCTGGGACCTACCATTTTCCAGTAACTCATGTGCCAGGTCCAGGGTCCAGGTGTAGCAGCAGGCATATCCAGCTTCTGTTCCTGGATGGCTGGCTGCAGTCAGGGCTTCCTGTGATGATGGAGCCTCTTGGAGAATTCCTCTTGTCTATGAGAAACGCATGGCACGCCCGTCTTGTTGAGAAAATGGTCCCCATCAGGGTCAGCACAATGAGGACATGGAAAGGAAGCCACTAAAGAGAGGTCCCTGCATTGTGTCCCAAGCTGCTCCCTGCTCCCGTGGCCGCCAGCTGTCTCCTTCTTTGCTTCCTAAAGTTGCTTTCTGAAACCCCAATGACAAACTTGTCACTATCAGAGCATCTCTCCCAGGGCTTGCCTCTGCCTCTCCCTGTCACTAATCTGGGCCTCCCTGGGGACCAGGAGCAGGGCTGCCACAGAAAGTCTGGGTAACTCAATTGCAGCCAGGTTGCCTGGCAAGGGATTGGCCCCAAGTCTGTCTCATGGATACCACTCACAGAGTCAGACCGAGGGCTGTGTGGAGAGGCTGGGGAAGGTCAGAGGTCAGAGACATTCCTAGGCATCAAGAACAATGTCCTCAGCTTGGGGTCCTGGGTCCCCGTTTTACCTCTCACTGGGAGGAACCCGGAGAGCAACTTTTGCCTCACCAGCACCGGTCCTTGACTGCCTGTGACTTCAGTTGAGAAGAGAGAGTGGGTGGCTTGAGGGTCCTTATGTCCTGAGGCGTTCTGTAGGATCTGGAGAAAAGAGTGCGGATTGTACTCTTTAGCCTGGGACACGGCCCATCTCCCAGCTCTGTCCTCTGTGGTCACTGCAGAACGCTGAGCACGGAGGAGAAGGCCCCCCTTCTGCTTTTAAGCTAAGCACCATCCCCAAAGGCTTCTACTGCTTGTAGTGTTTGAGGACTTGGAATATGGGAGCTGGTTATCCTGAGACGGCCTGACACAGCAGCGGAAGGTGAAGGAGAAGTTTCTAGATGGAGCAGTTCATCCCACAGGAGCAGAAAGACTGGCTGAATTTCCACTAGGGCATTTCCATTTTCTTGGGTTTGGTTAAGGTGATGGACAGGGGTGGCTTTAAAAACGAACTCCAGTGTGTCTGTCCTTGTTAGCGTCTCTGACTGTGATGAAACGCTGGCTAAGAGCAAAGAGGGAGGAAAAGGTTTATTTGGCTTCCAGGTCAAGTCCATCATGGAGGGAATCCAGGGCAGGAGCTGAAGGCAGGAACCAGGATGCAGACACTGAAGCAGAAACCATGGAGGAACACTGCTCACTGGCTTGTTTCCCTGGCTTGCTCAGCTGCCTTTCTTACACAGCCCAGGCCCACCTGCCCATGGTGGGACGGCTCTTCCTAAGTCAGTCAGCCATCAACACACCCACAAGCCAGTCTGATGGAGACATTCAAACAGTCCCTGACTTGAGATTCCCTCTTTCTTGATGTGTCTAGGTGTGTGTCACGTTGACAAGAGCCAACAAGCAATCTCCATACATGTTATAATAGTGATGTCTATAATGTTAAGGAATACTTTCCTATTCTATTTTCAAGCCTTGTATCTTGTAAAATAAACCCCACCTTCCTCCTTTCGTTCTGTGCTGGGAATTGAACTCAGGGCCTTACCCATGCTAGAGAAGCACTCTACTACTGAGCTACACTCCCAGTCCTGGAATCTTTTTGAAAACAATAATTTCAAATGGACTCCCTATTACTAAATCTGCTTATTGAAAATGAATTCCTGTTTTAGGAAAAATGGCATTTTTCAAGCTGTTGCTTCATGAGCTACTTCAATTAATGTGGTCAATCAGTGGGCAAGCAAGAAAATGCTCTTTGAAGGATATGTCATATTCCAGACAGTGCCCTGTATGCCATGGCAGGTCAGAGGACCCCTTAGCAACTCATCCCAACTGTCACCTTGTTCTGTTCATGAAATAACTGAGTGTGGATGAAGGAAAGCCCTCCTACCAGCTAGCTTCCGTTACCAACCACACAGTGTGCCAAACAGTCAGCCAGCAGACTGCACAGTGTTCTAGGACAGTCAGCCAGCAGACTGCACAGTGTTCTAGGA